CATTAGACCAATATTAATACTTTCTATATTAAACACACCATATAACATCCTATAAAAATCTCTATGATTTTTTTAAGGAGATGAATATATATATATATATATATATATATATATATATATATATATATATATATGTATATATATATATATGTATATATATATATATGTATATATATGTGTGTGTGTGTGTGTGTGTTTTGGTTCAAATAAGAACATGATCTTAGGAGAGAAATGAGAATGAATCTAGACCGTTAGATTTGCTTTAAGTGAAATTCAATGTGCACTAGATGAAACTGTAATGTGCATTAGGTGAAATGGAATTGTGCAACACAAATGATACGATACAGTGGCATTGTGAAGTTGAATTATGCATTAAGTGAAATTGAAATGTGCACTTGATGAAACTGAAATGTGCTGAAATAAAAGGTATGATATGATGTTATTTTTTTAACTTTTATTTCGCACATTTTAGTTTCACCTAATACACACTTGAGTTTAAATTTTTATTCTGCACATTTCAATATCATCTGATGCACATTTCAGTTTCACTAAATGCACAATCCAGATCCACATAATACAATCCAACTGTTCAGATTCGTCCTGATTTCTCTCCTGGTAGTCTGTTCTTACCGGAACCGCTCTCTCTCTCTCTCTCTCTCTCTCTCTCTCTCTCTCTCTCTCTATATATATATATATATATATATATATATATATATATATAAGAAATCAAATACAAATCATGCTTAAAATACTAACCTACAAACTCTATAATATGCATCACTTTGAACTTCAATATGCAGTAAAAATAATGTAAAGATGCAGGGGTGGGATCACATACAAACTAGTCCTCACATCCAAATCATCTTTACATTATTTGTATTGCACACTCGACCGTTTCAAAGTGTTTCATATTATTCAAGCCATAAAATAGCAGTTTCATATTTACAATATTTGTATTGCATATTGAAATTCAAAGAGTACATCTTTACATTATTTGTACTGCATATTAAAGTTCAAAGTGTTGCATATTATTGAGTTTGTAGGTTAGTAAGTTAAGTATAGTTTGTATGTGATCTCACCCCTATATATATGTATATATATGTATGTGTGTGTGTGTGTGTGTGTATATATATATATGTATATATATATATATATATATATATATATATACAGGGAAGAGTTCAAATAAAAAGACCTCTTCCCGTGCAAAGTGCGAAGATATGCACTTTTGCATCTTTCGCTTGCACTTTTGCGTGTTTCTGTTGCACTTTTTCGCGGTAACGAAAAAGTGCAACATATTTACGAAATTGCCACCGCGATTTTGGTCGAATTTTGTGCAGTTTTGGCTCATTTTGAGCCATATATATCCTCTCTTCGATGCATTATAAAATATTGTCTGCAAAGAGACATACCCCATGACATTTTGTTATGTGATAAAGAATTTTCACACAAAGAATCACATTTTTTTAATCATTTTGTTTTTCAGCGATAAATGGTACTACTTCCGTCCCGCTATGATTGTCTCATTTTACCTTATCGGTCCAACGCACTAAGATTGTCCCATACCAAATTTGGTAAAGTTTGTGTGGCTCTAAATCATTCTTACTTTATTCTTACTTTATCAATTCAATATCAACCACATAAACCACTTTTTATTAATTTGTGTGTCACTTCCTCTTGTCCCATTGTTAGCGGGACGGAGGGAGTAGTTAATAACACTCATACAATTTTATATTTTAAGATGACTGGTCCAACTCGACCCGAGTTTGACATTCTGGACTCAGAAGGACTTGAGTACCATCGTTGGGTTTCTGACATAGAAACCACTTTTGTGGCTAAAGATTATTCAGTCACGCTTGCCGACCCCGAAAGTTTAAAAGATGATGCACCGTCTGAAAAAACAATGGCTGATGCGCTAATGTTCTTTAGACGTCATACTGACCCAAGCTTACGCTGGGAATATTTACAATTGAAAACCCCCAATGAACTGTGGGACGCACTAAAAGGTCGTTTTGGAAACATACATGACACATTGCTCCCTGAACTGACAGTGCAGTAGAATGAAATCCGCTTAGTTGACTACAAAAAGATCAACGATTTTAATAAGGACATGTTACGCCTCAAAGCGTGCCTTAATTTTTGTGGTAAATCAATCACAAAAGATGAAATGATTGATAAGACCCTCTCTACTTTCCCTACCTCAATACTTATACTAGCGAACCAGAATAGGTTGGAGCATAACAACAAAAGAATAACCACATTTAATCAATTAATTAATTTGCTCCAAGTTGTTGAAAGACAAAATCAAGTTCTCTTGAATAATAATGTCAAACTAGTTGGGACAAAGAAACTTCCCCAGGTCAACTATGGCAAAGCAAACACTGGAAAGTACCCTAGTGGAAAAAGAGATGACCATACTCGTGGAAGGGGGCGCAACAATCGTGGCGGGCATGGAGGCCGAGGTACAGGCCGTGGAGGATCTTCCAAAGTGTGGACGAAAGATACAAGCGTTGGGACCAGTGGTCAAACCAACAAGGCACATAGTGCACCATCAAAATCTCCAATCAAACGAGACCGAGTTGGGGAAGAACCATGCTACATATGTGGAGTTTCAGGCCACTGGTATAAGAATTGCCAAGCCAGTAATAGAGTTGTTGTTGCCTACAAGAAATACCAAGAATCCAAATAACATGAATCTCAGTTTGTGACAGACGAAGGAAATGAGGTTGATGTTAAACTAACAATGGCGGATTTTGGTGTTAAAAATAACACCATCCATTCAGTCGATGCACCAGACTTTTAATTATTATTTTTCCCCTATCCTACTGGACATTTAAACAAACTTTATGCTTTTCTTCCTTCTTTTTTCATTTCCTGCTTATAGACATTGCATGCTTATCTTTATTTTTAATAATTGAATTCAATTTATGAAATCCAAATATATACCAACAATTATCTAATGCATGTTTACACAGGAATGACTTGATGAGAACTCGAATGTTTAGTCGATAGTGGGACAACCCACACTATCCTTAGACATAGGCAACTTTTTATTCACTTAGTAGCCTATAAATCTTCTGTGACTACGATGATTGGATCATCGAATGTAATACAAGGGCGAGGCACCGCCAAATTTATGTTACCTAACGGTACCACATTCCACGTCACAGACGCTCTATATGCACCTAGAGCTACTCGAACTTTATTAAGTTTTAAAGATATCCATGATAATGGTTTCCACGTTGAAACTCATAGTGAGGATGTGATAGAATACCTATATATTACCTCTAATAAAAGCAAAAGAAAACGCATATTAGAAAAATTAATAAGTCAATCTAGTGGACTTTTATGTCACTACTATTCGAATCTTCGAATCATATGCAGTCTCCAACAATGAAATGTTGGACACGGACTCATATAGGCTTTGGCATGATCGTCTTGGTCACCCCTGATCCTGGTTCTTCGCCCAAGGGTGGAGACGTTCGTCCTTGCCTATCTTCTTGCTTCACGCCGGACCGAGTGCGTTCGTCCTCTGGGAGATGTTCCTTGGTGCGATGTTTGCCCGTTAAGATGTCCCATGTAAGGAGGCCGTACGTCGTAATTGCCTTGGCGGCTAATGGGCCACTCTAAGAGTATTTGTGCCCAGGTTGTTGGGCGTTTGGGACGGTCGTTTGATAGGCCCCAGGGTCTAATGAGCCGATCCTGTTTGGGCCATTCGACCAACATGAGGAAATCCACCACTCCCTGGGTTCCAGCCAAAGGTTGGGGACGAGCATCCCTATTCTGACCAGTGTTTTTTGTTTTCTGGGGGGGTCTTACTTGATTGTTCGACCTCTCAATGAGAGCACCAAATGACAAATAGTATATTCGGGGGATACCGTTCGGGGTATCTAGAGAGATGTCAGAACAAGTAAGAGAGAGAGTGAGTATTTATTCAATGAAGAAGTTATTATATATCGATTACAATGGAAGAATGGTTGCTATTTATAGCAGCCATAAATGCTAGGTGCAATAAATGAGGGTACACGTGTCAAGCAACCAGCGGTGGAGAGTCAACTCGGCCAGGCACAGCATGTGGCCCCGACATAGCATGTGGTCGCATTGAATGCGGTGATTTGGATGTGATGTTGCATTCAATGCGGTGATTCAACGCATGTGGAGAGGAGATCATGTCGAGGAGAGTGCCCTTGACCACATGCACCTGGGGGCTGCATGTGCCGAAGGCTATGTATGAGCCGAAGGCTGCCTGTGCCGAAGGCCGCGCGTACCCAGGGGCCATTTGTGTGTCGTAGGACGTACGTCCCTTGGGGACTTCATGTGCTGAAGAACGTATGTCCCCTGGGGTCGTACGTAGTTGGGGAGGACTTCATGTGCAGGAGGACATACGTCCCCTGGGGTCGTACGTAGCTGGGGAGGACCGTCATGTGTTAGAGGCCGTATGTAGCTGGAGAGGACCGTCATGTGTTAGAGGCCGTACGTAGCCCGGAGGACTTGAATGTGCTGGAGGACGTACGTAGTTGGGGAACCTCATGTGCTGGAGGACGTACGTCCCCTGGAGAACCTCGTGTGCTGGAGGACGTACGTCCCCTAGAGAACCTCATGTGCTGGAGGACGTACGTCCTCGGGGCCTTCCATGTGTTGGAGCCTGGAGGACGTACATCTCCTAAGGGCTTCCATTTGCTGGAGGACGTACGTCCCTTGGGGGCTTCCATGTGCTGGAGAACGTACGTCCCCTGGGACATTCATGGGCCTTGTTTGTTGTGTTTGGGCCACTTAGACCTGTTGGGTCTGATTGTAGTAGTGGAAGTATGTGGGTCGGGTATTCCTGAGCCATATACTCCATCAATAATCATCGCCAAATTGAGTTATGGGCCAAAATCAGCCTAGCGGTGAAGAAGTGATATCGGAGAATTATTTTTTTCAAAATCAATCCAAAAGAGACGGAAAAATCCAAAATTTGTAAATTCGGTTGCGGATATTGAAACGTGAACAAACTCACCCTAAAATCTGGAAGAAAATATCATTGTAAATTGTAATAGTGTACATTGTTCATTAAAAGGTCACTTTCATCGCCCTCTTCCTGAAAGTTCACAGTTCACACAGCTACAAGATGTCAAACCTAATCTAGTGCTCAACAAAACCTCTATTGAAGGTCACTTGACCAATGCACATTACAAAACCTTTTCATTCCTACAACGGGCCAAAAAAGTGATTTCAGCATCCTGTGTACACTCTCGATACTCCCTATTATATATAAATTTCTTTCTCCAAATATGTAAGTGTAAACTAATAAACTATGAAGTACGAACTGCTCATGCAATCATATTTCCACCCAATTACAATGTCCAAGAATTTGTCTACAAAATATACGTTCTATACTTCATTCAAATTGGTAGGGGTACCAGTCTATCTCATCTGGGGTGAAAAGAGCTTTGAGAAATGCTGGCAACCGAAGTAGACTCGCTCTCTTTGAGCTGAAAAGATGGGTTATCCCAACAATCATTTAGCTCCATGGTTTTCTCGTTCACGAAGGGAGGGTTCGTGGGGGGTGGCAATTCCTCCTTCTTAGCTAGCATTTGTAGTGCCCTTGACATGGATGGCCGGAGCGATGGTGCCTCTTGGGTGCACAACAGCCCTATATGGACCACTCTCTGGACTTCATTCTTAACATCAATGTTATGGTAGTTATGCAGCATTAGGTTTGGGTCAAATAGCTCCTCCACTGTCCTTTGTTGAAAATGCGACCACACCTATTAAATGATGGTATTTTGTCAATGAACCAAGAATGAAAGCAAGACCTAGAAAACTAAACTAGAGCTACATTTGATGTCATGAGAACAAGGAAAATAATATGTTCTTGGAAAATAAGTCCCGTTGAAATGTTCTTGGAAAATAAGTTCATCTTTGTTTAATACTCCTTTCGTCCCGAATAGTTACGCCCGCTTGTTATATGTGTGGTTCTTTAGAAAGTCATTTTCACAAAAATATGGAAAATCAAGGAAACTACATTCCATTCAAAAAATGATTTCCGATGCCCAACATAGAAAAATATTCAGAAACAATCTGAGCATAGTACTTGAAAAAGAAAAAAATAGCAGATACGTGGCTTTCAAACATACTATATTCACCAAGCTGTCTGTGTATTCAGCCACTTTGCTCCTGTTATTCTGTCTCCCAGTCACTATTTCCAGCACAACTATACCAAAGCTGTAAACATCTGCTTTTTCCGACAACTGCCCATGGGCAAGATACTCAGGAGCCATATATCCCCTACACCATTGTATATACAAGAGAAGCAGTCATATCCAAGGCATCAAATTTCATACTAGACGTTATTTTCTCGCGATTACTTACAGAGTTCCTGCTATTGCAGTGCTTATGTGACTTTTGTCTTCCTCAAAAGCTCTTGCCAATCCAAAATCGGCAATTTTGGCACGAAGCCTCGAGTCGAGTAAGATGTTGCTGGCTTTTATATCTCTGTGAATAATTCGGTTGTTTGAGTTTTCATGGAGGTAGACCAAGCCTTCTGCAGTCCCTATAATTATTTCAAACCTCCTCTCCCAGTTTAATGTTTTATCTTTGATGGGATCTGTAGATATTTGTGTCACGCCATCAACAACTCTATGTTTGAAAGAGAAATAATAATATTACCTACGTCCGGTGGACTTTGCCAACTTCAAATGAGGTAAGAAATAAGAAAAGTAAAAGTTGTGTGGTTGAGGTTTGTGCAGAGGAGAGAGAAACAAGTAGAACCACAAATTCATTGCTTTAAAAGAAAAGTGGCAAAGCTTTTTGGGAAAAACAAAAACGGAAAGTTGGCAAAGTTGAGTGGGGTGGGGAAGTATTTTATAGTTACAATCGTTGAAAAAATCTTCCAGAATGAAATGTCACCTACACCAGTTAGATATAATGTTGGGCAACTACTTGTATAATGTTGACATCTTGGAATGGAACTCCAAGTAGTATCCGAGCCAATTAGCTCAAAGAAGAAATAGATCCGAGTTAGATTTAAAAAGATTTAAATAGAACACCAGGTTGATAAAACTCCTATGAATTATGAAAAAGACAAGGGGGTTGAGAACCAAGGTCAACATAATAGAAGAGTATCCAAGGCCTTATGTGTTAGTTTGCTTTTTGTGGATTTACGATGACATAATGTGTCCCACAAAATGATGACTTGTTGAAGCAGACAAACTTGAAATCCATGTCCTCATCTTTAAGCTTATCAAGATCAGGTTGCTTATTTAAACTTAGAATTTGATTTAAAAAGTCAACATAATATAAGAAGCAGCCAAACATTGGTTATTGGAGTTTGTCACAATAGCTACAATAATGTTGAAGCAAAATGCAGAAACTAACCGAAAATGAATTGATCAAGACTCTGATTTGGCAAATACTCATAAACTAGAAGGCTTTCAGGACCAGAACAACTGCAGCCCAACAACCTGACCAAGTTCTTGTGTTGAACACTGCTAATAATATTGACTTCATTGTAAAAATCTGCTACCCTATGCTTGTTGTTGAAGAAGAGTCTTTTGACAGCAACCTCTCTTCCATCTGCCAGAACTCCCTGCATTGTTATTAATTATTAGAATGTGTAGCTTGGTTGTACTTACATATGTGTGTGTGATCGACCGCTTCAAGTATCAGATGAGATTTTCCGAATCGAACCTTGTAAACTGTCCCAAATCCCCCTTGCCCAAGCTTATTGGCTTCAGAAAAACGACCAGTTGCTTTTTCAAGTGTGGAATATTTGAAATTCAAGCTGCTGTCATGAAGGAGTTTTACTAATTTCTCAACATTATTTGAACCTGGAGAGTTTGAGAATAAAATTTTTTCATTTTAAATAATAATTCGAAGACTATGTGTCCGTCCGTAGAATGTTTTTTCTACTTAACAGCCAGATTTGCTACATTTCATTAACGTATTATATTGCTACTTAACAGCCAGATTTGCTACATTTCATTAACGTATTATATTCATTAACGTAGAATGTTCGATTCAGCCAGAGTTCTGGGCAATTCAGTGAATAAGGTTTTTTGGCTGTAATGAATTAAATGATTGTTTTCCATCATTTGCAATGGAGCCAAAGATTCATTATTTTTTGGCTTGAGATTATGATGGAATAAAGCAAAATGGCTCACTAAACTGTCTGCGCTTCTTTGTTATGAAGCAGCAGTCAGTCCATGCAATTTTGGACGGGATTTTCACTATGGGTCATCCGGAAACCGTCTCTCTGTGCTTTAGTACAAGGGTAAGATTGCGTACATCCGACCCCCCCCTACCCCACCGTAGGTGGGAGCCTTTGCGGCACTGGGGTAAATGAAAATGATGAAAATGATGAATGAATTAAATGATTGAAAACTCTACGATATATTTTACATATTAATTTTTTATTCATCAAGAAAAGATAATTCAAATACATCTTGGATAATTCAGTAGCAAACTAAGCTAAAACAGTGGTTTTAGCAAAATTAACACTTACCCAAAAGGCTTTCTTAAAAAAAATCATTATGCCATTTATTGGGCTCCAGAATACACAATAAAGAACAAAATAATTCCGGTTATTACCTTTCCTCTTCTTATCTATTCTCCTCTGCTTCAGGAAACAAATAGCAATGAGTGATCCCACCACCAACACAACCACAGAACTAACAGAGGCAATTATAATGACTGCTACATTTGCTGCAAATAAATCATTATGTCATCCAAAATCAGATCAGTTTTGAGAGCAATTTACTTTGAAAACAAAGACCTAGATTACAGTAGTGTTCTTAACGTATCACCCATCATTTAAGAAGAGTAATTTCCTAATCTACCAGACTGTTCAGACATATTGATATTATGGTTGAGACTCGTACTAAAACTCTTATTTGTTGTTGAACTTGTTCAAAATTAAACTAAATCCTTCTCAACATCAAGACAGCTAATGATGTTGCATCTTGATGAGCCACTGTTATCTTATTGCCTATATGTTGACGTAGAAACTCTTTGAATTTCATTCCAACTCAACAGTTAATGGAAAAATAGTTCAAGACCTTTTTTGTTGGGTTGTATCTTGAAATCCTAGAGCTCTATTTGAGTCTCATTATTAATTAATTGTTTGAGCATAAATGGCTTCATACCATATCAAGGTTTGGAGTTTCATAAAAGAAAGTCAACCTTATAGGAAAAGTAGCTCAAAGTATTGTATTTTGAATTTTATAATTAACTCAAAATTATATTAGGGATCTTACATTATATGTTGCTGGGTTTCGTATAATTTAAACTTGCAAATTATATTCAAAATCAAGACACTGATGATGCTTACCTCTTGATGAGCTGCCATTACTTGGAACAGGATTAAGAAAGTTGGTGTCGGAGTATCTCATGAAGCAACCCGTGTACAACGCACGACCCTCTGGCCGAGGCAAGCACCCTAACATGGACCGAGACGCGCTCTCCAAACACGCCCTGCAAGAGCTGGCATTCAGAGTCTTCCAACAATCCGCCAAAACATAAACGGACTCGTTCCATCTCCCTGGCACTGGCAGTTCACCTCTCCCAGAGCCATTACTCTTTGGTGCATCCAAAACCACCTGCATCACGGCCTTCCTAGCCGTTTGCTGGAAAGAGGAACCTTTTCTAGTGGTTTTGTTTCCACAAACCCGTGCATCGTTAGGTCCCACGTACTCTTTAAAAAAGGTATAATTCCCTGACCGCATGAAGCAACCATCGAGATAAATGGTCCCACCATTGGCGGGAAAGCAGCTGGGGAGCAATGTACGAGCTTCTGCATAGCACAAAGCACAGTCAAGTAAAGAAAGATCTCCGTAGCATTGGGCTAGCCCATAGTTTTCATCGGGTCCCGAGCCTGTTATGGAAAGTCCCCACCCACGGGTTCGCATTTGGTCACTTATGGTTTCCATGACATGAACAAAGTTTGGCACGAAAGCCGTCGTGTTGTGCTCCCTTTGTTTTTCACAAATGAGTTTAACTTGTTGAGATCTTGAAGCTCCATTAGATGTATTTGGGAATAGTAGACTTGTAATAAGAATGAATAAGGGAATGAATGAGACTTCTCTCTTCATTATTCAAAGAGTTGAGGCTATCTTCAATCAACCTGTTGTTTTTATTTCAAGTCTGTTCAAACATGAAGAAAATGGTAAGGACTACTATGCAATAAAGATATTGAGTATTTACAGGGTAAGACCAATTTCAATGCTGGAAATGTAATCTTTAGTCTACAAAATTATACAGAGTAGTATATGGATTAGTCTACAAATATAGAAAAATCAATCTGGTTCAGGTAAAAGACTTCCTGTTTTAGTCCTCTTTCAGAAGAACTCTATTTCCAAAGAAGTTCCAAAATTCTGGAAATTATTTTCCTTCATCAGAATGTTTCATGCACTGATGCGCCCAAACACAAGAAAGCCCATGAAGAATATTTCTGGAAAATATTTGGGTGAATCAAATGAAGCCCAAGTGACAACACTTTTTTCAGTCGCCATACACCTTTTACATACTCAAGTTTAGAAGTTCTAAACCAGCTATGTTATCCTGTTATGCATTAAATTTGCTTCTTTTGAATATCAACAAAGAAAGTTCTAGATTTGAGGTACATCGCAGATAGACCCAGGACTTCTTCCTAAACCTGTTTGGTAGTAAAATAATAATAATAATTGCCTTTTCCTTTCAGAAATAACACCCAAAAACTCTTACCAAACGAGTTTGGAGACATGTACTTAAACCAAATAGTGTGAAAACGAGTTAACAATAAAGATTTTAAAAAAGACAACAACTTTGACAATGAAGATCTAAAATGATTGTGGTGGCAGACTAAGTCTTGGTTTTCACACTTCCTATATTTCCAGGAGAAAATAAGAGTTACAGTACAAAAAACTTTTTAGCTCCGTTTCGTTTACAATCAAGTGTACTAATGGTTCTTAAAAGTTTTCTTTGTAAAGTATTGGTTACTAATAGCTTAATTGTCATTCTCAAAAACAAAAAGTTCAATTGTCCGTATATGATAAATGGGTTTGACAAAGACACATAAATGTCTCTTGGTAGAGGGGAAAACAAGGGAACACGCTTACTTTGATCATTCCTAACCTATGAAATTACACAATTTACATTAGCCTTCACTACCCTAAGGGGAGGGGGGGCACTTGGTGTGGGGTACACCATTCTTTCCCTTTTAGGTTATATACCAATCAGCAAGAAGAAATTCATAAATATCAATATTTACTCTAGAAAAGCCACAAAATACATCTCTAACTTATTGAGATTTCTACATCACATACCAACCGCCATTAATTTTTGAATGCTACATTAAGTGTGAGACCCCACCATCATCTACAACTTAACAGTTCGGCAATTTTTTCAAACAAAAAATAAAATATTACAGCTCAAAGTGTGTTTCTCTTTTGGGCTTAGATTGAACCGTTCTAAAAAACGGAATCCAATTCATTAGCTAAATCAATGTAAGGACTAAAAACTCATTTCACCCTCTTAAGATTTCAATGTAGAACTGTAATAGTGAGCTAGATAACTCCAGGAATGGAACACATAGAACCTAAAAACAAGTTTTAGTAAATAATCCTCAGTCACCTTCAACAATTACCAAAGATCATCAAGAAGCGTCTTTTGGTATCATCTCTTCACAAAAGATTGCAGCTTTTGAACCATTGGCGGCAAAAAAAAGCAGAAAAATAGAATCCAACATACCTCTTCGGTTCTTCCTCCAGGTGGGTTCTTGGGTTTGGATTTGGGATGAAGATTTGGTGCTTTCTTAGAAGCACCTTAGAGAAGACTGAAATTGTAGCTAGGAAAGAAAAGAATGGAAGAAGAAGTGGAAGAAATTTAACAAATACTCTGTAATACAGCTTAATATGTTACGGAGTATGACATTATGTGCGGAACTGCAGCGGTATTGGACTTTGGAACAAGCCGTTGAATATTTGAACACGCTGCGACCTCTTTTTGTCTTCAAGGATTGCCAACCCATTGACCCAACTTCACATGTGTCATATTTGAAGTTTGAAGACGTGAGGCCTCTTGTTCATCTTCAACCAGTTCGATTCAGTTAATTTACCGGTGTCAATTTCGTCTTATAAATAGTTTGGATCTTCTATTTCACCGATTCATAACTTTATTGTTGACTTTTTCACTTTCCAAATTGCTTAATAATAATCAAAATAAATAAAATTGGAGTTATATGATTGGTGGAATTGAATTAAATTATTCTAAATTATTATTGTAGCTATTATGGTAGCTATTTTTCATAATTTAAATTATTATTGGATAAGTATATTTAATTATAAATTTGTAACAAGAAAGAATGACCTAATAGTTTTAGAGATAATAGCCCTAAATAGGACCTAAACAAAAATAATAATATAAAAAATCGTAAAAATGTATTATTTTAATTTTTTATTTTTTATTTTTTCATTTTTTTTCGAATTTTTTACTTTTATTAGTTTTATTTAATGTTTATTTCGTGTTTTTTATTTATTTACATTTTTATTAGAAATAAAGTTACGTGATTACTTTTATATGTTAATTATTAGTGAAATGTGAATTGTTAGCTAGGGTATTTTTAAGTTAGAAGAAATTCCACTTATGGTCCTTTGAGTTTTGTACCAATTCCACAATTCGTCCTCGTCTTTCATGTTATCTATTTTTGGTACCTGACTATTGTTTTCTTGACCATATATAGTCCTTTTCCGATAGTAAAAATGCTCAGAAATGGATCATAAATGGTCAAGAAAATAATAGTCAGGTACCAAAAATGGATAAAGTGAAAGACGAGGACTAAATATGGAAATCAAACAAAACTCGGAGGACCTAAAATGGAATTAATTCTTTAAGTTATGGCCCTATTTTGGTAATTGAAGTTTCTTTTAGTCCTATTTCAAGAATTCTCTCATAGTTTTATCGCATATGAGAGTCGGTCGCAGCTAGGGTTGAAGCTTCAACCGCGCCCATCTGGTGGCTAGCTAGGGTCGCAGCAGCAAGGCTTCTCCTCCGTTGGTTCCAGGGCAGGGTTACAGAGGGTCTAGGACTGCGATTATTTATGTCACCTCGGCGCTTCAAGACAGATCGATTCGCTAGAAATAGAGAGTTTCAATGATTCCTACTCATCAGTCGATCTAGCCTCATCGAAGATTCTTTGGTAGGGTCATGATCCAATTTGATCGTGCTTCTATTATTGTTGTTTTTGTTTTGTTCTATGGCGGACCTTTTCCGGGCATTGAAGTTCTTGTTTGGTTGGTATGGAAGAGAAGCAGGTGCGAGATGCAGGTGCGAGACGCAGGTGAGAGGGCGCATGAGAGGTGACGGGTCAGGGACTTAGTGCAAGTGATTGAAATCAGATTTATGTCAAAAGAAAAATTGGTCATATTTTTGTCCTTTAAATCTCTATTAGTAATAGTAGGCCATTCTTTCTTGTTTCTTTCTTGATGATAAACGGTTTATATTAATATTAAGAAAATATACAAAACAATCTCCAAACAACTATTACAAATCTGATCGTAAGCTCTAGGAGTAACAGAGGCAATCACATCATACAAAATAATCTGACTCGCTAGACACAAAATGGGCACTTGTAAGTCTAACACGATCAAAACTGAATCACTGCCTATTAAGAGACTTAGAGACCTCCACAAATCCAAATATCACAACCATACCTACTTGAACTAAAATAAAAACAAGTACTATTAAAGAAAAAACAATACTGAAATATAGCCTCTTCATAACTATTTTCCTGGCACGGAGGTGGTTCTGGAGGATGACGAATTACTCCAACATGAGTGAAAATTAAATTCTTCTTCCTGCTTTGTTCTGGATAGCCATAGAAATCGGTGGAATAGCAAATATTTGTATGAAACAAAAATTTGAATTCTTCACATAATTCTGCCGATTCGTAAGAGATCGCCCAAAGCTCCTTTCTCACAAACTCATTGATTATCACTTATCAGGTTAGTATATATGCTCATGTTTAAGATCCAATTTGTATATATTTGATTTGTATATCACTAGACTCACTATATACTCATGTGTAAGATCCAAGAGAAATGGTGCTAAATAGGAGCTTAACTTCTCTTATGTAATTAAATAAGACCTTAACTTTTTTAACTCCTAAATAAGACCTAATTTTAAGAAGTTTCCAAAACTGCCCCTGTTTCCTAAATAGCCACCCGTGCCTTCATCTCTTAGCAGCTCCGTCCTCGAAGCAGAAACAGAGCTTCGTCGAACAAAGCACGCAGCACAGAAAGCTTAATGAGATAAGGCGGGGCAGATGGGAAGTCTTGCGGAGGAGCGAGCGCGGCAGCGGAGAGAGCAGTGGTAGCGGCAGGCTCGAGCCGCGCGGCAGGCTCAGGCCACACAACAGTCATGTTTTTCTTCTTCTCCTCGGCCTGCTATGTTCCTCTTTCTTCTAGTCCCTTCTTTTCCTTGCTCGGCAGCAGGATTGTTTTTTGCTCCGTGTCTGCGGCATGAAGCTTGTGCTTATTCCAAATTCCAGTAAAAAAATTATATTTGCGTTTTGCTTTATTTCTTTCTCCGGCTTATTTTCTTCCATTATCTCCTCCTCTATGGTCTGACACACACATCGGCGACAACGGCGGCAGATATTGCATTGTCATAGAAGAAACAATTGTGGCGGTGGCAGATCTGACAACAGTAGTGAGGTGTGAAGAGACTGGGAGTCTCAACTTCTTCATTCCCTTATTTTCAGCTTCTTTCATCAATTTAGGTTATTTTCTAATTTTGATTTTTTCCCGTCCTCCTCTTGACTCCAACACATACAGTAAGTGCTCTGTTTTTTTTATAGAAGAAAAGTACTGGCTTTAATTTGTCAATGTAATTGGAGATTGTTGATATTGATATTAATACATTATTGTTGATAAATGATTTTAATAAGGGTCTTTCTACGGTGCATTGGCTTTGTTTTGACAACGTTGCATCTGAAAATAAAAATTACTACGTATATTTTAGAGCTTTGGCATTAGTTTTAACAATATCATTTTCATAATGATTGACATTCTTATGACATTGTTATGGACATTTTTATGACATTGTCATTGACATTCTTATAACATTGTCATTGACATTCTTATGACATTGTCATTAGGGCTAAGCAAAACCCGAACCGACCCGCAAAACCCGAAGTTTTTTGCGGATAATATCTGATTGGATACGGATATCCGATCCGAAAACCCGAAACCCGAAAATCCGATTAGTATTGGGCGTAGACCGGGTGGCGGGTAGGGTTTGTAAAATTGACATTGTCATTGACATTCTTATGACATTGTAATTGACAATGTTATTTTTTATAATATTGACATTGTTTTTTTTTCACTACATTTTTATGATCCTCAATTGTAACATTATTTATTGTGACAATCATTATGATTTATAATCCTCAATTATTATTTAAAGTGCATGAACGAGTGGGCTGATAATGTCCAGGCTACATTGACATTGTCACGACAATGTCATTGACACTGTCAGGGCAATGTCATTGTCATTCTTATGACATTGTCATTGACATTTTTATGATATTGTTACTGACATTGTTTTCTATTGACATTCTTATGACTTTGTCATTGACATTCTTATGACATTGTCAATGACATTGTTTTCTATTGACATTCTTATGACTTTGTACGAGTAATTCACATTTTCATCATTACAGTGTCATTATTTAAACAATGACATTGATTTTAAGCAATTACTCTATTTTGATTTTTTAATACAATGACAGCATTCTATATTGTGATTTAATAATATTGATGTTTAAACAATGCCATCATACTCTATTTCAAATAATATTCAAATGTTAATTTAAATAGATTAATTTGCAAAATCCCAAAAAAAGCAAAAATAATACGTACGAAAACTTTTGAAAAATTAGAAGGCAAAAAAAAGTACTCAAATGATAACTTTGAAAGTTAAAAGGCAAAAAGAAGTACTGGATTGAAAAGTCAAATCAAACAACCACAAAAATGAAAGTTAGGAGGCATTGCAAGGAATTGCACGGTCCATAACAAATCCAAGGAAGAGGGTGACTTGCGCTGGGCACAAAAAAAAAAGCAGGAGGAGTAGGAGCAGGTCAGTGAACGAAAATAAATTCTGTGCCCCGCTAGAACCATCGGCAGATCGGCGCCGACTCTGGTTTACGTCTCAAACCGGCGACAACTCTGGCCAGAACCATCGGCAGACCGGCAGTGAACGCAGCGACGGAGACTTGCATCCTACAAGAATGTGATAATCTGCTCGCCAAATGTTTCACGTAGTTGTCGGCAAATCAGTTGAACCGATGGTGTTCGAGAGCAAAGCATGCGAGCAGTTGGAGAGCAGAGCATGCGAGCAGGTCATCTGAGTTAGAGTTAGCTGGTGTGCGCAGAAGGTAGATCGGGAATAAAGAAGCTAGGGGTATTTTTGTCCGTCCAGATAGAATTAGGTCTTATTTAGGATTTAAAAAGTTAGAGTTCCTATTTGCATAGGAAACCTATGTTAAACTCCTATTAGAGTCTTTTTCCCAAGATCCAATTCTTGTGTGTTTAATTTGTTGTCTGTATCAAAAGAGAACACTGCACTTCTTTTAGTTCTCTTCTATAATGATTGTTGTCTTTTTTTCCTTTATATAAGAGAAATGCATTTCTCTAATATTTGAAATTAGTATTTTCTCTTTATCAATTACTTCTACTATGGGACTATAATATACTTCCTCCGTTCTTAAATAAATGTAACAGTCAACATTTCACACTTGACGAGACACAACTTTGACCATTAATATATATAATTCTTTATTAGTAAAAAATTTAAAAAAATTAGTTTTTGAAAATTTACAATGAGACAAATTTAATCATATATTTTTCAAAAAAATATATTAATACATCAATAAATAAAAAATAGTCAAAGTAGAACATGTGAATAGTGTAAAATTTCACATGTTGCACTTATTTAAGAACGGAGGTAGTATGCTTTTTTCTTTAATCCTTCGTTGGCTATAGAGCAGATTATTAAGAAAATGATTAATGATAAAAAACACTTCTGTATTTTTCTTCTTAAACCATTATTGTGCATGATTTAAAGTCTTATATTTAGAAGAGAAGATTCCAAGTAAAAATATGCCATTTTTCTTTTCTTGCAATTTTTTCTTTTCTTGCAATTACTTTGTTTTGAAATCTAAATCAGCTTCTTTAAAGTGTTTAGATCTTGCTTACCAATTCTTTTCATTAAGCTATGCAATAATTACACGTAAGCAGGCATATATGTGTGTGTATGTGTATTATCGTATACATATTTAGATATAATTTAGGGGACCTGTTCAACTGCATAAATATGGTTGCGTAGTATGTGTTATGAACTAATTGAATTATTCAAATGAGGAAGTAGTGCATTTTTCTATATAATTTTGTGCTGCTTGCTCGGGCTAAGATTTTTAAACACAAAAATACTAAGATCAAAAGAGAAGAATGCATTTTTCTTAACCAGAGAAGAATGATATGTTACTTCGTCAATTATCTTTGGCTCTTGGTTTTCTAGAGTTTTAGTAAAGCAACTCATCAAAAAAATATTAATGAGAAAACCACTTCTGCACAAAATCTCGATGTTTGCTCATATAAACGGAGTAATACCACTTCTGCAAATAACTTATTTTTGGAGCTACTTCCTATCTTGATGTCCTCTCAAGACATTTTAGATTGCCCCCATGATTACCTTACCGACATTTGGTTTGGAACAATGCTATCATTTTCTTTCTTTCTTTCTTTATTTCTTTCTGTAAGGAATAAATGTAATTAGATTTTGATGATGCCAGGTTAATTAGAATTTGAATGTACCCCTATAGAAATTTTGTATTAGAATTTTTCTTTGTAAGCATTAGCATAGTCGACATGCCAGAAACCCTCTTGATCTTCCTTAGCAGAATATCTACCAGAGTTGCTCCCAGAGCTGCTCTCCAGAGAAGCTACCAGAGTTGGGTACCAGAGTTGGCATCAGAAGCAGTCATCAGAGTTCGGACCAGAAAACCTCATTAGACCTGCTCTTACCTAGCAGAACTCGAAGGCACCTAACAACCCTCGTTAAACTAACGGGAAATCCTCTAACGGCTAGGAGCCATTCGACGGGAACATGGTACTGTACACGCATTAAATGCTCAATTAATGTTGTACGTATGAAGATATATTTAAAGATGATGATTGACCATGCGAGTATCTTCGCGCCCCCAAAATAGCAAGTCGAAGGTCCAACCGGTCAAGTCAACAGTACAAGCATTTAATGAAGCTGTCTTCTACACTCTAACGGGAAGACTGCTCCCAGTATATAAGATACACTTTGAAGAACTACCAGGATAACTTTTTGCTACACAAACTTGCTCAAATTGTTTACTCTGAACAAAATACCTTCAAGCTTTCTTGAGATCAAAGACTCTCCTACCTCAACAAGAAAAGCTCATGTTGGAAGATATACTTTCTTATCCTTCATCCAACTAACAAGTAGCAAAGTTCCTCAGTTCTTCAACACTTCGAAAGCATCATCTACACATCCTTTGTGAAGAAGCAACGTTGGAGAAAACTGATCTTGAATCAAACACTTCTTGAAAAAGAAACACTTCTTGAATCAAACACATTCTACACTTCTTGGAGAATCCTTCCTTCCTTCCTTTCTTTCTTTTATTTTCCTATTTTTTCAGTTTCATACTTGATTGGATCCCCTTTCACGTAGGCTTTATTCCCTTCTTTGAGATTGAGTTCTTTCATTGAAGACCTGGAAATCGTCCAACACCGAATAGTAGGAGAAAAAAATCATTTTCAAATCTACTTGTCAAGTTTACATATCCATTTTTTATTTTCTTCCTGCGTGAGTTTCAAGTTGACATATGGTTTGAAACTACATCACACATTCTATCCTATTATATTTAATTGCTATTTCTCTTTGTTATACTCTTCCAAATTATTTGATATATTTTTATTCATTTTCACAGCATATATGGTTTACTTGAAGGTTGATAGATAAATAACTAAATAATTGATGGGTTATAATATATTTTAAATTAAGATTTTTCTATAGTTTGTTGACTTCATATTATACAGATCATCTTTCTGTGATGCAGGAGCGAATTATGGGTAATTGGTTGAAGAGTTTTTACATAATTGGGAGATCTATTGTAGTTATGTCAAAGGTTTAGACGTTTAGTGGAACCTCCATTTTAATTTCCTAAGAATACCTAAATCAAATAAATCAATTTTTTTCTTCAAATGTTAGATTGTTAGGTACATTGTATTTGCAGCAATTTAATTTCTTTAGTTTTATAACACTCACATGGCGTGATGTGATAATAGTCATTGTTTGGGAAATTTAATCAAAGGAAATAATACAAACTTGATGCAGAGAATGTCATCTTTTACCTTAGATCCCTCACCAAATATAAACTTATTGATACTTCGTTAACTGTTTGGAAAATTTTGCCAAGACTGTTCTATGTAAAGATCAAGGAAATTCCTAATCTTAGTATAGTAATAATGTGTATTTTTCATTGTAGGTGATTGCATATTTAGTGCATTCTCAACTTGTGAATTGTGACATATGAAATTAAAATGTTTTTGTAATTTGGGAAAACTGTAGAAAATATATATGAAAAATTTTAAAAATCTTTCTCTCCTGCTAATGTATCATATAGTTGGGTTAAGCATTGGAATTATGTTAATGGCCTGTTTGTTTGAAGGTTAACTTAGGTTATTGCAGACTCAATTTTTAGTTAATCTCGTTTGTTTGTGTTTTTGCAACAAGAACCTAGGTTATGACTTAACTTCACATAACTCCCGAGAACCTGGAAACACTTCAAGTTGAAGAACCTCCAAAGTGGGGGGTTTTGGAGGTTAAGTTCCCGTTCAACATAAAATAAGCTATAGTACCTCCATCCAAACAACATTTATTACATTAATATAGGTTCACTTTATTTATTTCCAAACACAATTTTACGCATGAACCTAGGTTCACTTAGGTTAACCTAGTTTTTTTATAAAACTTAGGTTTACTAGATTGCACTAGTTTTACTTAAGTTCACTGTATCCAAACAGGGCATAAGAGATTCAACTAGCCTTGATTTCAAAGGAATCTCCTACCCTTCAAAGAAGGCCTTTAGCTACTGCATTGGTCACATTGCTTTGGCTATTATGAGTAATGTGAGTAGTTTTTAACCATACTTGTCACAGCGGTAAGTTGAGTCACGGTGCCAGCCGACCGCCATATTTCCTAGGTGATAAGGCGCCCGCCTAGGCGACAATTAGACGACTAGTCGCACATTCTATATTCTATTATATATATATATATAATACATTACTAATTAAATTGTATTTATTTTTATATTACTAATTTATTACAAAACGTAAAGTACACATTTAATTATTTTAAAACACATATAACAAATTAATAAGTATGGAGTAATAATGAATAATGTACTCAAAAGCAATTCAACAATTCAGTATCATCACAGTATATGTGGGCATAATTACGCATACCATGTGATGGATAGCGTACCCGGGAGGTAGCTTATCTGAGAGGTTATTGCGGGAATAACTAGAGAGAAGTCAGAGCAAATAAGCAAGAGAGAGAGTGTATATTCGATATGAATTTTTTGTGTGCTTTACAATGGGGAAAGGGGCTACTATTTATAGTAGTAATAAATGCCAAACAGGGACACGTGTCAAGCATCCGACGGCCGAGGGTCACCTCAATTGGGGTGGCACCGGTACTTGCATGTGGCCGCATTAAATGCGGTGGTTGGATGCGACGTTGTACTTGGTATGGCGATTCAGGCGCATGTGGAGAGGAGATCCTGTCGAGGAGGACGCCTTCGGCTGAAGGGTGTTGGGTCGAAGGCTCTTCTAACTGAGGGCTTCCCTGTGCCGAGAGATGTATATGCCGAAGGCTTGGTTTTCAAGCCTTGTTCTCCTGTGATGTTTCTGAGCTCGAATCTGTCAATGGTAGCCTTCGGTCACGGGGCCGAAGGCACCCCCTTGCATCTTGTGGGCTGCGTAGAGCTTCATTCTGCTGGGCTTGGCCCGTTTGGGCCTGTTGGGCCTGATTGCAGTAGTGGAAGTACGTGGGTCGGGGGTCCCCGGGCCATATACTCCATCAGGAGTCCCTCACTCCTTTTGCCGAAAGGTACTTGAGGGAAAAGGAGTAGTTGCGTTTGTAGAGTTGTGAGAGGTTTGCGTTGCCTGTTTTTCCGAGGGCAGCCCCTCAGTCCCCCACACTTTGGGACTGAAGGGTTTTGTTGATGCTATAGGGAACTTTTAACATTTTGTGATTTTCCCGAGGGGGTTCTCCAGTCCCCCACTTCTTAAGGCACATGTAATGTGGTGAAAAAGGAGTAGAACAGTGCTTGTCTTCAGTCTATGACCGAGGGCTGACGCTTTTCGTTTCATCTTGGGGGGATGCCTCGTTAAAAACCTTATTAGGAAAAACCATGTGGGAAAAAATCCTAATGAGGGAAAAAGAGTGTGTCGAATTCCCCCAATGATGAATAAAAAGGCGAGCCCTTGGTTTGAGATGAAGAGTAACGTTAATGCCGAGAGCTATCCGTGGCCCGGGGGCTTTCTTGTTGATTAGCTGTAGGCACTTTGAGGATATTCCGGGAATGCCTAGGGGAGTCCACCATCTGTCGAGGGCTGAGGGGGGAGGAATGCAAATGTTTGTTCCTGTGTTGTCGAGGGGTTCCCTGGTGGGGGGGGGGGGGTTGAAAGAGTTGACCCGAAGGCGTGCACGATTGTTGTCTGAGGGGTGCCAGCTGAGGGGGTTCCTGCACTCCAAAATATAGCCGTTGTAATATGACCGTTGTAGGTGGGGCCACGTGACGTGTTCCCGTTGGCCGTCCCGGGCGGGCGTCACCGGTTGGTTGAGGCGGCGATCTGTAATGATGGCTTTTTGCCACCGGGGGCCCAGTTTTCGGCCCAAGCCCGGAGTGGGGGCCCTATAAATACCCCTTGGCCAGAGTCATTCTTCCTTACCCGTCCCTTGTTGTAGCGAAGCTCTAGCAAAAAATTTCTAGAGAGAGAAACTCCCCTTCGATCGAACCACACTTCCGAGGTCAGTTCTTCCTCCGCTCTTTGCGCCCTTAGCATATTTAGCTTCCCTACTTTTAGTACTAGTGTTTAGGGGCCTTAGTAAGTTCCTCCTTCTATCCTTTTCTCTCGACCAAAATGTCGTCCGCGAGTGATTCCTAAAACATCTTGGAGGAGCCCTCGGCTGAAGTAGAAAACATATCCAAAGTGGAGTCTTCGAGCGAACAACCTTCGGTGAGTGGTGATTCTGCCGTGGCTATGGAGGTGCAGAAGGATCTCGTCACTGAGGCCGAGGCTGAGGACTTTGAACAAGTCAATGATGACGAGGAGCTGACCCTCGTTCTTCAAACTGCGGAAGAAGAGGAGGATAAAGAGAGGCCAAACGTCACCATCGCCATCCTTCCCGCACGCAATGCTGGTGAGGCCAACATCTCAAGGCCTCTAGACCCGATGCCTCTCAGGGTGGCCACAGGGAAGAAGAAGAAGGTGAAAGCTGCGCCAAAGAAAAAGCAAGCTGCCGTCGATGTTGGGCAGCCGGTGGGCATACCCGAAGGCTACTCCTACCTGAACACGGCCACCTTGGAGGTGAAGACTAAGGCCACACAGGGGGAGTACATGGCGACACAGTTTCTGGTTGGGCCCTCGGCGCAGGTGGTGGAGCCGGGGCCAGATGATGTGCTACTGCATGCCCCCGCTGGTTGCTTCGCGGTGCATATACTCTCGGTGGAGTTGGGCCTCCGGTTCCCTCTTCACCCCTTCGTGCTCGAATACCTTCGTTTCGTCAAGCTCGCCCCCTGCCAGTTGACGCCCAACAGCCACTCCTATATCGCCAGCTTCCTCTCCTTGTGCCGGAGCCGGGGGGTCCCACCAACTTTTGACCAGTTCTTTCTGTTCTTCAACCTCTGCCAGGGAGGGCATTCAAACGCCGGAGGCTTCGCTAACCTGTAGCAAGTCCCTGATTTCAGGCTTTTCGATGATGTGCCTTCGTCCCATAAGGGATGGAAGGATAAATTTTGTTATATTCGTATGGCGGAGAACCCTTTCCGTGCCCCACTTCGTGATAGCTTCCGGAGGCACCCGAAGGTGGGGAGTGCCGCCCTTGAGAAGAACGAGAGAAGGCTTTCTCAGAAGCCGGAGGGGTCAGACAAGCATGTGCTGATTAAGGATGCCACCCTCCCGGACGATCTCTATTATCTGAACTTCCGCCGGTATCGGTTGATGGGGGAGAAAGACGAGAAGTACTCTGTCGTCGACATGGTGTATCAAAGTGTCGAAGGTGCTTGCCGAGGGATCTCATTTTTGTACTTAAGATTTTTTTATATTTTTTTATTGCCTTGCTTGTAGTAATAATCCAATACCATAATGCTTCCATTGTTTTCCAGGACCCGATATGGACGCCAGAAACCTTGCCAAGCTGAAAAGGCAACTGGCCAAGGAGGGCAAGAAGAAGGAGGCTCCGGCTCAACAGAGGGCCGTAGACAAGATCTTCTCGAAGGCGGGAACTGGGCATGATGGGGAGCCTTCGGTGAAGGTTGCTGCTGTTGAAGATGTTGACGCTGATGCCGAGGGCTCCCCAGTTGGAGAGCTCAAAAGAAAAAAGGTCGGGAAGGGTGTGGTGCCCCTGGAGGGGAAGAAGCAAAAGAAGGGGGCCAATGAGAAGAAGGACGCCCCCGTCGTTATCATCGATGAATATTCCTCTCCTGAGCCCCCAGGTCAGGTCGCTGGGATGTCATGGCCCCAGGAGAATGTGCAGTTCTCCATTACTAAGGGGACTGCCATCATGCATGGCACTTTGAACCTGAGGGAGTTCTTGAGGGGGGGCACCCCCCGACAGATAAGTCAGTGCTATCCTGGCATGCTGACGATGCCCTCTGCTCCAAGGTCCTCCAGGCCTCGGTCACGGTAAAATTCTTCCTTCTCCCTTACCTTTACTCAAATGGTTTCTAACACCCTGTGCGTAGTAGCTTAACTCTCAATGCCTTTGGATTTTCTTTGCAGGCATGCCTTGGGCTTGGCGAGCTCATCCAGAGGATGGATCAATCGCAACTTCAGAAGGCACAAGCTGATGAAGCCCTGATCCTTGCCCAGAAGCAGCTCCAAGAGGCGCAAGAGGCCTTCCGTTTGGAGAAGAAGGCATTCGGCAAAATCCTCGAGAACAGCATGGTGGTGGCCAGAGCTGAGGGTAGAGCCGATGCCAAGAAGATGGCAGCTGAGGCTGCCAAGAAGGCTGCTGAGGACGCAGAGGCCGCCAGGGAAGAAGCTGTGGCCAAGGCCTGGGGGATGCCGTTGCTGCCTTCATCACCGAGAAGTGGAAGACCGAGAGGCCCAAGGAGTGGGTGGCTTCTGTGGTGGAGGCCTCGGTGGATGAGTGGGTGAAGGGCCCCGGGGCCATGTGGCTAGCCCGCAAGGGAAAGGAGTATTATGACAGGGGCGAGTTCTTTACTCAAGCCCTCATATACCGGAGGCTAGCCCGGCACATGGGAGTGGACCCGAAGGCCTTTGACCCGACGGCTCACGGTCTTCCCCCTCTTCAGCCAGACACCGGAGTCCCCCTCCCTACGGATGCTGAAAGGCCTGATCTTGAAGATTCCATGCTGATGCAGGAGGCCAGTGATGAAGAGGAAGCCAAAGGGGACGCTTCCTCGAAGCCTGTCGAGGGGGGTGCTACTGAAGCTGATCATTCTTGATGTATTCTTAAACATTTTCTGAACAATGTTAAGTACAAACATTCATAGCTTTCGGCTTCGGCCCTGATGTAACAATTTCCTTTATATTATTTTTGGTGAATGAATGCATTGATGTTTGAATTTTTCCCCGTTGTCTTTTGAATGAATGCTTCCACCTTTCTTTATGCTTTCTTCCTTAGTTGTATGAATGTATGTCTGCATGGTGAATGAACCGAGGGATAAACATTTAGGACTTAGATAATTTTTCTAGGTGTTGTCCACACGTAGGCCCTCGGTGGACATCACCTTTTATCTGTAGGGAATAGTTAGTCTTCGCCTTAAACTCCCGAGGGGTCCCGTGTTGTGGACTTAGCCAAATTTTGGCCAGTGTTATGAGTACGCCCTCGGTTGACATCTTTCTTAGCGCGTGGCGCCCTCGGTCAGTGTGGTTTTAGGTTAAATATCCCTTAGCATAGCATGGTGGTGCCGGGGGCACTCAACTTGTGGACTTAGAAAAATTTCCTTTGACTTTGCAACTAGTAGCCCTCAGTAGAAACTTGGAACTAGTTGATTTTTGACCCATTTGTAGAATAGGAGCCTCCGGCATTGATTGCAGTGCCGGAGGCTATTGGAGTGTGGACTTAGGCAATTTGAGCCCCTGCCAATGAATAGTCACCTTCGGTAGTGTATAGTGAGCGCCTTCGATCTTTGTTGAGCAAACGTGCCTTTGGGTTTGGTGGACCCCCCCCCCCCCCAACTAGAGCCTTCGGGGGTATCGTTTGGAGGGTGGTGCATTGCGAGAGCCTTCGGAGCTTTAGGAATGCATGTTTGTTGTTGATGCCTTCGTCTTTCTTCATGCTTTCTTTCTTGAATGTCTGTTTGCACCATGAGTTGACCGGAGGCCAAATATCTAGGACTTAGAAGATTTTTGACGTGCACTTGTCGTGAGGTGCACTCAAAATAAATATTCAATACAACACTAATACGTAGTATAGTGAAGTAAGGTTCGTATCCACAGGGAAAGGAATACTTTCTTTTATATAATTAGATGAACAACTTATATGAGTTTAAATAATAGAGATGCGGACTTGGTTTTGCTTTTATCCACTTAATGAAATGTTTGTCGATCCCGGTTATATCTTTAACTATCTTCCTCTCGAATACTCAATCGAGGAGTATATCCGGTTCATCGAGGGTAGTTATTAATAACGAGATGCGTTCATTAATAAAACTTACTATCGAGTCAATATACAACAAGCATCGTATATTAATTCGATAGTAGCAATAAACTTAAGATGAAAACGATTGAGATTGATAACCTCAACACAAGCGGTTTATTGGTTTAATCAATATAACTAATTCCCCTTGGTGTATTAACCATGAGATGCATGCATTAACAATCCAAGTTTACTACCGTTGAATGAACCGAATTAATAACAAGCGTATTAATCGATTGATTCTAGTAATAATTAATAGATGAGGCAAAACTAGTTGATCTTTAAAGTAATGCTCAAAATATTAATATGGAATATGAATAGGAATTAATTAATACTCAAGGAAGAATATTAAAAAATATGAATCCTACTATAGTTAATATCAAGATGTTAACTAATTGTCATCTTAGTAACACTCCCCAATATTAACATAGAGGAAGAAATAACTATTACTATTACCAATGTCAAGAATGATGATGGTTTTTGGAGAGAGATGTTTCAGACCCAGGGAAAGAGGTGAATAATACACTGCTGAGGTGATGACGGAGCCTTCTTCCACGGTGGTGGAACCACCGCCGCCACCAAACCCTTGGGCAAGAAGATCGTTTGCGGAGGTGGTAGCAAATCGAGATCAACCTCTGACTCCCAAGCAGGCTACTCATTACAAAGGAGTACCTGCAATCAGCTTTCCGAAAGGGGAAATTCAAGCACTGGCCGCGAAGCACAAATTAGCCTTGATTGGATATTTTTTTAAGGCTCGTCCCAGTATGGTAAATCTGCGCAAATCATTTGAATTTATTGGTTTCAAAGGTAAATTCAATTTGGGATTATTGAATCAAAAATATATTCTCATTTGATTTGAATTGGAGAAAGATTATCTTCGATGTTGGAATAGGCAATCATGGAATATTCATGGTTGTGAGATGAGAGTTACGAAATGGACACCGAATTTCAGGCCAAATGTGGAATCTCCGGTTGTTATGGTTTGGTTGGGATTTGAGGATTTACCAATCCATTTGCAGGACAAACGAGCCCTGTTTGATATTGCAGGACTGATTGGGAAGCCAATGAAAATTGATGCGGCCACAGCCTCATTGGCTAGGCCTGCTTTGGCTAGGGTATTGGTGGAGTTTGATCTAACAAAGGAGATGCCAGCAAAAATTTGGATTCAGTGTGGAACTTCAGGCTTTATGCAGTCAGTGTTCTATGAAAATAGGCCTGAATATTGCTCTAAGTGTCTGCATTTAGGTCATAGTGCAGGGAAATGTCCTAAAAAATCTGCAGATACCATTTTGGCAATAACTATTCTCAAGGAAAAGTGACAGCCTAAAAATATGAGCCAGGCTAAGGAGATCAAATTTACAAGAAAAGAGAAAGGTAAAGAGAAAGTCGAGGAGATTGTCCCAATTATTACACATGAAGCTTCAACCTCTACTCCAAATGTAATCAAAATAGCAGATCAAGTGCCTAATGTACAGGAGACTAATGTGGAGGAGAGTCAGTCTGAAGAAGAGATTCAGAAAAGGATAGAACCACCAGATGAGATTCAGCCTGTGAATGTTATAGAAGAAGAACTCAGTGGAATGAAACTAATACCTGCAAAAGAAAAGTCAGATGCAAAAGATGATACATGTATTAAGGACCTCCATGATACCTTAGAGTTTGATCCTGAGATCAGAGACAAAGAGTGTGTCTCAGACAGTGAAAGCCCTAACATAGTTGATTGTGAAGCATGGCAGCATGGATGGCCTGAAATCTGGGATAAAGTGGAATTAATCAAACAAAAGATGATAGAAACAGAAAGAGGAATTCAACAGGGGGAGGGGGTAGATATGAATACTCAGAGCACATCTAATGCAGACATACAGGATGAATTCACCCTGGTCACCAAAAGAAGAATAAGGAGGAAGCTTGAAGTGGGGGGTCATCAATAACTACCAGGAATGCTGCCAGGAAAAAAGATAACCAAGGGTTCTCATTGACTTCTTTTAAGGAGTCTAAATGAATTGTTTAATTTTGAATGTTAGTGGTCTAGAATCCTCCAGTTCTAGACTTAATTCCCTAATTAAACAATGGAGAATTTATCTTTTAGTTGCTATTGAACCTATGGTGGACAGGTCTAAGGCAAATCTATATTCTACGTAGATTGGTCTTAATGCAGTTACTACTTCTGAAGTTAATAAAATCTGGATCTTTTGGGATCCTAACAAAGTTGATCTTTCTGAGTTTCTGTGGGAGGAACAGTTTGTTCATTTCAAAGTGCAAAAAGATAATTTCACAGGAAGATTTATTGCTATTTATGGAAGACATACTTACATTGAAAGGAGAACCTTGTGGACTGCTTTGGTTGATTTTTCTAAAACTATCAAGGAACCCTGGATGGTAGGAGGAGATTTTAACACAATTGCTTCATTTAATGAACATCAAGGAAGGGGTATACCAGTGCTTACCAGCCTAAGGGAATTTTCTGATTGTATTGTCAGCTGTAACTTGGTTGATCTCCCTTACTCTGGATGCAAGTACACGTGGACAGGGGTAAGGTCCAATGGCAGAGTATGAAGAAGGTTGGATAGATGCCTTTTTAATAAAAAAATGCATGGACTTTTATGAAAATATTCAAATTTCTCATTTGAATAGTTCTTCATCAGATCACATGCCAATACTAGTTCAATGCTTTAATAAGGAGAATACATGCCCTAAATCTTTTAGATTTCAAAATATTTGGTGGTCCCATAACACTTTTTTAGAAGTGGTTACTAAAAGTTGGAACTCTATTCACACTGGGGGAGGAATGAGAGGAATGGTTCTTAAGTTGCAGCAGCTCAAGAAAGTTCTTAAAACATGGAATCTTTCCACTTTTGGCAATATTTTTGAAGACGTCAAACTTTGTGAAAATGAAGTTCTTTTGGCATAACAGAATTTTGAGGATTTTCCATCCCCTGAGAATAGAGAGATATGGTCTCAGTCTAGAGCTTTGCTACTTTCTAAGTACAAGTTAGAAAGGAAATTTTGGAAGCAAAAGGCTAAGATCAAATGGCTCAAGGAGGGAGATGCTAATACTCCTTTTATCATAATTATGTCAAGATCAGGAATAAAATGCAGAGGATTACCTCTATCCAGAATGCTGATGGTGCTTTGATTTCCTCTGAACCTGAAATTGTCAGTGAAGCAGTGAACTTTTTCCAAAATCTTTACTCTGGGGATGATAGTACTGGATATGAGAAAATTCTGCATTCTATTCCACAAATTGTTAGTCAGGAGGACAATGATATGTTGATTAAACTTCCAGATGAAGAAGAAATTAAGGGGGCAGTTTGGAGTCTACATAAGCAGGGAGCACCGGGGCCAGATGGATTCAATGGTAAATTCTTTCAGAAATGTTGGGACATTATCAAGACTGATCTGATTAAAGCAGTTCAGGATTTCTTTTTGGGGAATCCTATTCCTAAAGGTTTTTCCAGTACTTGGATTGTTCTTATACCTAAAAAGGAAAGACCACAATCATTTGTTGAGTTCAGACCTATATGTTTGTCAAACTTTATGAGTAAAATATGTACTAAAGTGTTGGCAAACAGGCTGAGTATTATCTTGCCTAAAATTATATCTC